GGAAAGGTAATAATATAAAATACTACACTAGGACATGTCACCCTACTTGTCTAAACTTTCAGGTAACGGAGAAATTATACTCTAAGCATGAATTATTTCTACCATACGGAATAAAGTTTTACACATCATGCCCTAAGGATGTGTTCATATACACACAGAAAATGTGCATATATACACAGAGAAAATATTAACCAATAGTTTTTAAAGAGCCCCTTACATTTTAATATGGTAATACTGAAAATATCACAAAGAAAAATAACCAAATCAGATGACATCTCCAGATTGTTATTTATATATAAAGATGAATCACCTAATTGCTAACAACAGAAAATTTCACAGATGAGGAGTTGCTAAATGTAGCAACCAGGATAAATCTAAAAGCTGGGGAACAAGTGACAAAAATGTTACCATATACACAAAACTGAAGTGATTTTTTTCTATAAGAATGAAACAATATCCCCAAATTTTACAGTAGAAGTGATGACTAAAATAACATGTCAGTTGAGTGAATCATTACTTCTGAATCAAAAGGCAAAATGGACAGCACATGACTCTTGCTGTTAAACTTTCATGTCTCGAAGTATTACTAGCTTACGTGTAATACTTTATAAAGTGCATAAGGAGTAATTAGTTTATTTACATGTATTTAGCCACACTGCTTGTTATTTAGCCTTACACCTCTTAGAAAACACATTTCACTCTATTTTTCTCATTGAGTCCATGAAGATGCCATCATTGTACTCTTAAGCCCCAATGAAAGCAAGATATGGTTCTGACACTCTATCCTATTTACTGCCATCCTACAAGAGTCTATGACAGTGACACAGACGTCAGCACTATCAGAATGAGATCAAATTACTATAAATTGGGCAAATCTCTATTAAAATCTCTTCCTGGAGCATCGCCAAGGCTAGTCACTAATGTCTAGCTTATCCTCTTGGTCCTTAATGAAAACCACAACAAAGCCAGGACCACAATTCTTAGGGGTATCAAGTCCCACTGCTAAATTGTGAATAATTTCCTCTTCAAACATTTATGTGTTATGGACAAACAAAAAGACAATATGAGTTTTTAACTTGTGGGGAAATGATAGGAAAATGAGGAACTAAATAAGGCTTGAAATGGTTTTATACTCTCTAAGGCGAAACATGCCAGGAAAGATGTCAAAAAACTCTAGAGCCTTACAGGTACAAGAAAGCCATTGGAAGAATAATACCCAGCCTGCTTTTCAAAAGCATCATTCTGGCTACTGTGTTGAGAACAGACTGAACACTGTAAGATACCATAATAGGTGAGAGATTAGAGTGATAAGAGGATGAGCAAAAGTGGTTTTATTTTAGATTTGCAGAATCAAGAGGATTTGCTGAGAGATTACTTGTTGGGTATGAAGAAAGCAAAAAATCTAAAACTGCCTTCCAGTTTATTGCTTGAAGAACCAAAATACAAAGCTGCCATTTCTGAAATGGGGAAGAATGTCAGAGGAGCAGATTTTGAAGGAGTGTTACAGTTTATCTCAGTCATGTTAAGTTTCATATGCTTATTAACCTTTCTCCAACAGAGATATTAAGTAAATATATATAAGCCAATAATTTAAGTAGAGATAAAAGTCAGAGATATCAATCTAAGAGCCATCAGCATATCAGGTAGTATTTTAGTGATAAGGACAGCTGAGATTCTCTAAAAGCAATCCAGGTAGTAAAAAATGAAGACAGCTAAAAACTGAGCTCTGGGCACTCCAAAGTTTAAGAGTTGGAGAGATGTGAAAGATCCAACAAAGGACACAAAGAAAAATTTATCATAAATGCAGGAGAAAAAACAAGTGTATTTCCTAGAAGACAAGTGAAGAAAGTACTTCAAAAGAAGAGGGCAAAATTAACTGTGTGAAGTGATGCTGCAAGGTCTTCTGGAATAAGGATGGAGATACGACTGGTGGATTTAATGCTGCTGGAGAATTATGGTAAAAGTCTGATTAGCCTGCAAGTAGATTTGACAGAATTGGAAAATGAATAACTGGAATACCAGCGGCAGACAGCTCAGCTCTTTTAAAAAATTTTGCAGTAAAATGGACAGAAATAGGATCGCATTGGATGTAAGTGGGTTCAAGAGAAGGTACTTAAACACGAAAGAATGAACAGCTAACATGCTGTTGGCTTATGGACAAGATCCAGTAGAGACTCCCCTCAAAAAAAAACACAGAACAAAGTAAAATAAAAACAAACAGAAAAACAAAAAGGGAGTTCAGCCTTAAAAAAGAAGAAAGTCATGTCATTTGTGACAATATGGATGAACTTGTAGGACTATATGGTAAGTAAAATAAGCCAGGAAAAAACAAATGGGGAATCATATGATATCATCTGTGGAATCTAAAAACCCTGAACTCAAACAAGTAGAGTGTAAAACAGTGGCTACCAGTGAGTGGGGGGAAATGTTGATCAAAGGATATAAAATCTCAGTTAGGACAAAGAAGTTCAAGAGATCTACTTGTACAACCTGCTGAGTAAAGCTAGTAACAACATACAGTAGACTTGAAAAGAGCTATCAGAGCAATTTGAAGTGTTCTCGCCACAAAACAATGACCAGCATATGAGGTAATGCACACGTTACTTAGCTCGAGTTAGCAATTCCACACATATACATATTTCAAACATGTACGCAGCAAATACATGCAATATTAATCTGTCAATTAAAAATTAATTTTAAGAACTTTCAGTGTAAAAATCAAGCTCATCCAGGAGATTAGAGATAACAATACATAAGTCCCTGGTCAAGGAAAACCGGGTGGAGAGACTTCCAAAACAACAGTCCAGTTAGTGGTCTGTTTAAGTTGGGTGAAAAGTGACATTTTATGACTGTATGCTCCAGTGTAGCTAACAAATGATACACAGTTAGGAGTAGCATATATAGGTTTCAGTGCTGTAGTGCTGTAGCTAGAGATAGAAAATATAAAGTTAAAGCCTTATAAGGAATACCAACCTAGATAGTAAGATACAAAGTAAGACAATGCTAGCTAAAGACTGCTGTAAAGTAAGGATGGATGCCATCAAACTATACTGTAAATGCTGAAGGTCATCTGCATTAGGATTTTCCAGAGAAACAGACCAACAGGATATACATATATATATGTGTGTGTGTGTATGATTTATTACAAAGAACGGGCTCATGCAATTTTATAGAGGCTGGTGAGTACAAAAACTGCATTGTAGGTTCACAGGATGAAGACCCAAAAAAGGAAGAACTGTTATGATGCAACATGTTTGAGAAGAAAGACGATGGCAAAATCTGGCCTTTGCAAGTAGCATTGGCAATTCATTCACGGTCATAACAAAAAATTTAAACAGGCATGGATACAATCAAAGGAGTTGATATGTGTATCACATGGAAGCTCTCTACTCTTTCTGTTTCTTCAGTAAAAAGAGAAATATAGCTATTACCTAAGGAAGCCTGGGAAATGAGAGGAAGATCTGAGGAGAAAAATAGTCTTAAAAATACTCATCTAAGAGGATGGGAAAGCAAATGGACCTGGAGACACAACACATGACCACCTGGCAGTTATCAGACAGGAAACAATTACAACTCTTTTCTAATTCATTTATCAAGGAAGTACTGATTCCTAAGACTTTATAATGTTTTTCTTCTCAAGGAAATAACCATTTAAATCTTACTTTTCAATTTCTGTCTCCCTTGTTCAATTTACCAAAGTATTTTGAAGAAACAAATTATCAATGATAGTAGTCCCATAATAAAATTGATAATGAATCTGATAATCAAAAAACATTACAGAAATATTTATTTCCAAGTAAAACATGGCAAAGATAAATGTATTATACCAGGGAGAAAACACCAAGAAAAGGGTTAAGGCACTGAGAAAGAACAGGCCAACTCATCTATCATGATATTCCATATTCCTGGTAAAGCACCTGATACTCAGTACTCAAGAAACACATGCTAAATTAAATGGGTGAATAGATCAACAAATATTGAAACCTAAAACAAAAATGACATAGCATGAGTATCCTAATAAAAATAATGAAAATATAATAAGAAAAAATGAGATTAAAAGCTTAAAAATGGTTTGGGATTTTTGAAAGATGTGAGTAAGAGGGAAAACAGTAACAATGGTATTATCTCAGGGCCTTTTCTTGAAAATGAGGAATAAATCTTTACATATTTTTTCTTTCCAATGTGACAGCATAATAATGAAGAACATATTGATTTAAGAATTAATGTTTCAAATTAATGAGTATATTGATCATGAATCTTCATCTTTCATCTTAGAATAGGATAGAATCTTGTCTTACGGCTAGATGTGGCTCCCATGCTTAGTCTTACCTTCTTCTCTCAGTTGCTATCACAATCCAAATCTCATGGCCTTTAACTATTCACAGTTCTCTAAATACAGTTTTCTTCTTCAACCCCTGTTACTTCCTCTACCAAAATATGTTCTATTGCCCAGAAAATACATAATTAAGATTCATGTCTCCTGTTATTCATAGTTATCTTTGGAAGAGTATCCTGCTTTTATACTATTCTAGCAGGCCACAGTTTGTTACTTAGCTCCTGTTACCCTATACTACTACACAATTACCAATTGCTTCACCCCCACAAAAGTGAGTGCTGAGCTTCTCATTGTATTTCCAGTCTTATGTAAATAGGATTTGCACATGGCACAGAGCAGTTACTAAAACTTATTACTCTGTTGAATAAATTCTAGATATGTTCTACATACCAACAATTCAACAAATCAAAAACCAATAATTTCTTTTGTAAAACAAATGGTTGTTACTACAAATCTGTCATCTTAGCCAAAAAAGGTTATTTGACCTTATACAAATATTAAGTAAGAAACAGCAGATAAATTTTAAAATTATGAATAGGCATAAATGTATCCATTTATATATGCTGAATGGAAATCAATACTTATTTCCTTAATATATTCTCTTTTTCTCAAATTACAAGAAAAGTATTAAAAATAATATGGAATATGAAGGTAAATATTTTACCTTGCTTTACATCAACATTTCTGGCAACTTCTGACAGATAGCGGTGCGGCAAAGGATATGATGAAAACATTGGCCAAGAATACGAATCGTCACCCTAAAAGAGCAGCATTCGGATGACTTTAGAAAGTTATTGAAAATGCTGAATTTTAAAGCTCTCTGAAATACCATTAAACTGGCTTTTTCACACATAACTTCCAGAGTTTTGGCCCAAATAACCAAAAACTTTTTGATACTATAATTCACTATTCCATAAGTTGATAATTAAAATGTAACAGAAACATGAAATAAGGATTGCAGATAGACATATGGTAATGTGTTCTTGTGATTAAGATTGATAATGATGGCTTTGCTTTTTTTAATAAAAGGAAAGATACAATCTTCAAAAGAAACCTTATTTTCTTCTCCAAACTGTCTTCCTTGCATTGTCAATCATTTCTATCTTACCTTTCCCAGAGTAATAGTTAAAGCAAAAAAAAGCTCTTAACAAAATCACTATGAGAAACCCATCCTATGCATATTGATGGAAAGATAGATACTCTAGATTGCAAAAAAAATACACAAAGTCTAATCATTTAATAAAAAGAATCATGAAAGAAAAAGACATCAAAGAATATTAAAAGAAACACAGAAAGAATGACACCTTTTTAACAAAACAAGAACATTCTCTGTTACACAAGCTAGCACTCATGACCCATTGCCAACAATGGCACTATTTTAATTTGAAAGTGCTTACTTGCATTCAAAAGTTTATTAAGAACCAAAAGTTCAACTTAGTGATACAGACATTGGGGAGGTATTGTTTTTAGTATCATTGAGTTAGTTACTTGCTTCAAAATATGTCTGATAAATATTCCTTCCTTCTTATTTCACTCACCTTATCTATCATTCTTGGAGGCAAAATCCGCTCCAATGGCCCACCAATAAGATTTATTCTTACAAGAACATGATTTCTCTCTACTGATAAGCCATCAATTATAAAGTCCCTGAAAGAATAAATATATCAATTTTGTCATCTCCTTAATTAGATGTGATTTGATTTTTAAATCAAGTCACAAGATTGCAAAGAAGAAATCCAGAATATGGAAAACAGATTTATCAATATATGACTTAAAATGCTTGGTATGTTATAGCTTTCTTTGCTAAAGAGAAGATAAGTGATATATAATTGACATAATGAGATTAGGAGATTACAGAATATTTACTTGATTTTGTACATCACTGAGATTAAAATCTGTATAAATACCAGAGTGAATTTTGCATACACTTTTAGACAAGGTTTTTCTTACATTCCAAACAGAGTGCCTTAAAATTACAATCTAAATGTTGCTTATGAGCAGCCTCCACTTTTTGAAGCTGTTAAACCTTCTCTTCTACACCAAGGCTCAGTACCAACTAATATACTCTATAATCCTCCATGACCTGGCTAGGATAGAAGCACGCAGTTCTTTTCTAAAATTACAGACATGAGCAATGCTGGCTACTGAATGCATATTAAATAAACGTCATCCAAATTGAGGTAATGGTAAGTGTGATTTATTAATAGGAAAAATTACCAAAACCTCATTTTGCAAACAATCAAAATTTATGAACTAACATAATTAAGAGAATGGAGAAAACAGTGCCTCTCCAAGGGATACAGAATCAAACATTTTATTCAATGGGGTAATCTTACACATGCAGTATTAATTTAAAGGTGATATAATTTCATGAAGCCATAAAGTTAGGGCTTAACTGGAAAAAATCTAAGACAAAAGTAACAAATGTTGAAGTAGTCTTCTGCAAGATCTCTCCAAAGACAGGTATCATATTCTTTCTGTGATATTTACGCTTGAATTGCTTTTTACTCTGTTATCTAAATCTACTGAAGTCAGATAATATGAAAACAAACTTTATAGAAAACTACTTTCTTAAAGCATGTACCAAAAAAAAACAAACAAACAAACTGTTATCATCATGTTCTAACACCACACCTCCCCCCCTTTTGCTTTTCAACCTGTGGCTCTCGGAGATCTCTAAGAGATTTTCTTCTTGAGCATGTAGTAACATTTTGGATATTTGATACTGAGCCTCCAATAGGAGAAGACTGTCCAGATCACAGCATACCACACTTAATAATCTATATAAAGGGGAAAAGAAAAGATCTTATGATGAATTATCATACAAGTATGGACACCATTTTTGAGATCTCAAAGTAGTACCTATTCATGGAGATACTGATCTTACAGTAAAGATTATGCAGCAATCTCAGAAATATTTTAATCATTTTGAATAGCAAAATCTTTTTTTATTATTGTTGTGCTGGGGGTATACTGTGACATTTACAAAAGTTCTTATAATGTATCATAGTTGAATTCATCCCTTCCATTATTTTCCTTTATCCCCTCTCCTCCCATTCCTGGAATAGTTACAAAAGGTCTTATTTTTCCATTTACATATATGTGTACACAATATTGGAGCCCTCCTACACCTTCTTCCCACATCCTCCCCCTCCCACTGGTACCAACCCTCCTAAGCAGGACTTGTTCTGCCTCCTATTTGAACAGTAATCTTCTTTTCAAAACTTGTTCTGAGTTTTTTCCCAAAGGCCAATTGGACAGCTTCTAACCTAGATTTTTAAAATTTTATCAAAATCTATGGGCTGGGATGTACCTCAGTGGTAGAACACTTGTCTAGAATGTGTGAGGCTGTGTTCTATACCCAGTACCAAAAAAAAAAAAAAAAAAAAAAGCAAAAAACAGTCTACAAGAATGCTAGTGCATTTTTCCTCAACTGCTACTTAATTTAAAAATTCATCACTAAACATTAGCAAATCCATTAAAACTACAAATTGCCTTTTCTTTCAACAATTAATTTCACAAGAAATGTTAACTTATACATGCATACATAAATATATACATTACATATTTTATATATCATGCATTTTAATTTTTTAATTATTGGTGTTTGAACTCAGGGCTTTGTGCTTGCTAGGCAGGCACTCTACCACTTGAGCCATACCTCTATATATCAGGAATATTAGAATAATCATTTTACTACCAGTCTAGACAATATTCACTAGGTAAAATGTAAGTGTAAAAATTTATAATTGTCCCATCAAGTTGAGAACACTAACCCACTAATTTATGGTACTAATATTAAGAGACACAATCAGATATCTGCTATTGTGATGCAAAAAGACACTCAGTGATTCCTGCCCAGAAAATTAATCCTGAATCTAATCAGTTCTAGACATCTCATTACCAGTTTACAGGAAATATTATAACTACAGAAATGTATTAAAATAATCACGAAGTGGAAATAGTAAACCAAATCCATAATCTCGAGAATCCTATACATTATCACGTATTATATCTTTGGGGGAAAATATGGTATTTAAAAAAAAAGGAGAAAGTAAACTATTACAAACTTAAAAATCTGCAATCCCAACGACTCAAGAGACTACAGCAGAAGGATCACAGATTTAGGGCCAGTCTTAGCAGCTTACTGAGATTCTGTCCCAAAAAAAGTATTTTTTAAAGGTCTGGCATGTAGTTCAGTGGTAGGTTGTGCCTAACATGTGCAAGGCCTTGCGTTCAATCCACAGAATATAAAAAAAAAAAATCTGAGCAAACAGAATATGTTGCTTTGACCTTAATTCAAATAAATAGTAAAGGGGCGCTTATGGATTACACAGGAAACTGTGGAACAAGTACTAAGTGAGATTAGGATATGTTAATTTTATTAGAATTGTATGGTAGTCTTGGTTTTTGTGTGTTTGTGTTCATTTTTTCAAGAAGCTCTTTATCTGTCAGAAAACTGCATTGTTTATAGGTAAAATAGAATAGCATAAATTTGCTATCAGGTACTTAAGTAAAATAATTCAAGGGGAGGGTGATGACAGATGAAACAAGAGTGGCAAAATACTACAATTCATAAAGATGACAGATGGGTATATGAAAGATTTGTTAAACAATCCATTACTTTTTCTAATGTTTAAAACTATTATGCTTTTTCCAGACAAGGGACTGATAACCAGAATATACAGGGGAGCTCAAAAAATGAAACTGCCAAAAAATCAATGAACCAATAAAAAAAATTGGCAAATGAACTGAACAGAGACTTTTCAAAGGAAGAAGTACAAATGACTAAAAAACACATAATAAAATGCTCACCATCCCTGGCCATAAAGGAAATGAAAATCAAAACCACACTAAGATTCCACCTCACTTCTGTTAGAATAGCCATCATCAAAACCACCACCAGCAACAAAGGTTGGCAAGAATGTGGGGAAAAAAGAACCCTCACACACTGCTGGTGACATAAACTAGTACAACCACTATAGAAAACAATATTGGGGCTCCTCAAAAAAACTAATAATAGATCTGCCATATGATCCAGCAATACCACTGCTACGGATATACACAAAGGAATGTGAGTCAGGTTACTACAAAGGCACCTGCACACCCATGTTTATTGTACCACTACTCACAATAGCTAAGCTATGAAAACAGCCAAGATGTCCACTACTGACAAATGGATTAAGAAAATTTGGTATTTATACACAGTGGAATTTTATTTAGCCACAAAAAAGAATGAAATTTTGTCATTTGCAGGTAAATGGATGGAGATAGAGAACACCATCTTAAGTGAAGTTAGTCAGGCTCAGAAGGCCAAAAGCTGCAAGTTTTCCCTCATATGCAGATTATATACCTAAAACAAATGCAGCAATATTATAGGATGAGGGTCACACTATGAGGAGGTCACACATGGGAGGGATAGGGCAAAGAAAGGAAAACCAAAAACTTGAGGATAGTTGATGTGCTTACTGTACAGGAATGAATATAGAAATCTAAAACTGGCAGGGGACATCATGGAAAGGAGACTAGGGAGGAATGAAGAGGACTAGAAGAGATGAACAATTAGGGTTGGAATACATACATGCATGGAAACAACACAAGGAAACTCCCTGTGTTTATCCCTATCTTATCTCAAACTAGCAAAAACATCATGGTTTACTTTTTTAAAAAAATCTATTATGTTTTTTAGATTTTGTACAGCTGCACATTTTAACAATTCAAAGCGTATATATGTAAATAAAGAGAAAAAATGTTTGATGGAGACCTTTACGTGTCAAAAATAGCAATTCAATATGACCAAGAACCTGGCTACAATAACAAATGCATATAAAACCAAAGGAAGAAAATACTAGCAAGTGAGAGAAATGTTTCATATGCAGTTTACAGAAGTTAAGTCATCTTTGTTAGATACAATACAAATGAAACCAAAATGAAGAATACCAAGATTTTTAGTTTGAAAAGTATGGGATAAATTGGCATTGCCTTTCCAATCTTAGAAATAACTCAAAATCATAGATGAGTGAATAACATTTCTTAGACAAATTTGAGCACAAAATGAGCTAAACAGCAGCCAGAAGTAGTGGGCTAGGGAAGGGAAAGAGATCAAGAAAGGATACCAAGGCTGTCCTTCATGTGAAAAAACAGCCAAGTTCTCAAAAATACATAAATTTCTACAAAGGAAAATGATATACAGTTCTCAAAAATGAAAAGTTTAACCTAAGGTACAAAACCTAATTCTCTGTTCCAAACAGTGAATTCAGAATACACAAGACAGCAACAAGAGATCCTTGACCCAATATTGTCTGAAGAAAAAGAAAGAACAGAGTGGAACAAGAAATCAAACAAAAATCAGCTATTAATTATTGGTTAGTTTAACAAGACAATTATTAAAAAACAGAAAACCTACTATTTCCATAGAAAGGTAGAGGGGAGTGAGAGGAAAGTCTGAAAAGGGGGCAAACACACACACATAGGCACACGCACACACACACATGCACACACACACACACACACACACATACACACACACACGCACATAAACTTGGGCCCAGGGGAAAATTCTAGCTAATCAGAAACAAGCCCTAGCTTCTCTTGAACGTGAGATTCTTACAAATAGTTGATGATAGCAAAACTCAAACACCTCCAAAAACAAATACCACACAAAGATGCACACAAAAGTGCTATATGAAAAAAGGAAGAAAAGAATAGAATAAGCATATAGATAATATATATTCAAATAAAAAAGTTGCCATTAAACACGTAAAATCATGAGCAATAAATTCTCATGAATTTAAAAAACATTTAATAGAGCTATTGTTTCCATTAAGATCTTTGCACAACCTAAAACTGTATGTGCAAAAGGAAGAAACACTTAAAGAACCAGAAATGTAAAACATGAACTGGCAGGGATAGGGAAAGAACTCTCCTAGAGATTTAAGCCTAACTGGAAAAGAGTATAAAGAACAACAGAATGTGAAAAGTACAATAAGAGATCAAGGGGACCAATAAGAAGAATATGAAAGATAAAACAGGAATATGGAGGTTTTAAATGACTCATTTCTGCAAAACAAAACTGAAATAATCTAACAGATACACTTTTAAACCAGTCAAGAACTTCTTCCTAAGAAAAAAGCAACCATAACGCTAAGTGTGTTGTTAAAGATACAGTATGTTCCAAGGTAAACTAAACCCAAATTCAATAGCAAGGTATAGTCTGAGGTAAAGTTAGTGGATTTAAAAACAAACAAAACAACCAAAAACAACTATGCACAATAGCCAAGCTGTGGAATCAGCTAGGTACCCAACAACCAATGAATGGATAAAGAAAATGTGGTATACATATATATATATATATATATGAAGAAGATTAAAATTATGTCATTTTCAGGAAAATGGATAGAAGTGGAAATTACCATAATGAGTGAAATTAACCGAATTCAAAAAGCCAAATATTACATATTTTTGCCCATATATGGGATCCAGGTCTAAAATGATAAAAATAACAATAATAATGGGAGTTGACCACAAAGGGGACATTGTAGAAGGGTGAGTTCAATGAGAAGGGGGAGAGGAAATGAGAGGGAATGAAGGATGAGGAGAATTAAAGTATGTTACTTATATGTATGGAGATAACACAAAGAAACCAAATACTGTTTTTACAAGACAGGAAGGAGAGAGGGGTTAAGGGAATATAATAGAGGGGGTAAACTTGCTCAAAACACACTGTGTGCATATATGCATATATGGAATTTTCATATGAAACCCCCTTGTACTATT